TCAGATCAAATCGATCAACATCTCTGGTTATAACTGAACTGATAGAAGATGTCACTAGTGCCATGGATAATAAGAAACATACGTTGGGAATATTTATTGATCTAAAAAAAGCATTTGATACAATTAATCATGAAATACTAATTGACAAATTAGAAAGGTATGGGATTAGAGGGATAGTTTTAAATTGGGTTAGAAGCTACTTGACAAATAGACGTCAATTTGTGAAGTTAGGTGAGTACCAGTCAAAACATTTGGGCATTGTATGTGGTGTCCTCCAGGGGTCAGTCTTGGGTCCTAAACTCTTTATATTATACATCAATTATATATTTTTTAAAGCATTTGACTTATTGAAATTTGTGTTATTTGCTGATGATACTACCATATGGGCTTCTGGTGAGAATTTCCAGCAACTTTTGGACTTAAAGAAATGGTGTGATACAAACAAATTATCACTTAATTTGGATAAGACTACATTCATGGTATTTGGTAATCGTAAGCTGGACAATCAAATCCAAGTAATGGTTGCAGGTGTTAATATAGAAAGAGTTTATGAAATGAAATTTCTAGGTGTTATTATTGATGACAAAATTTGCTAGAAACCTCACATTAAATATATACAAAACAAAATGGCTAAAAGCATTTCCATACTGGTGAGAGTGAAACATATTCTGGATTAGAAGTCACTTCGCATCCTTTATTGTTCTTTAATTTTACCATATTTAGATTATTGTGTTGAGAGTTGGGGAAATACATACAAAAGTTCACTGCAGTCATTATTTATACTTCAGAAAAGGGCCATAAGAATTGTCCATAAGCTTGGATACCGAGATCATACTAGTGCATCATTCATACAGATAAAGCTAGAAACAATCAGTTGCCGGACGGAATTCAAAAACTGTTTAATGAGAGAGAGGGAGGATACAATTTAAGAGGCCATTTAAACTTAAAAATTTACTCTATACGTACAACCAAAAAAAGTTTTTGTATATCTGTAAGTGGTGTAAAATTGTGGAACAAATTAAAGGATGATTTAAAACAATGTACAAGCATAAAATAGTTTAAATATAAATATAAAAGAGGCTGTATTTCAAGGTATAGGAAAGATGAGGTATAGTGCAGATCATATGGGAGTACTCGGGGTGTGGTGTATGATAATAAAATTTATGTACAGACTTTGTAATAATCTTGTGGATGTGAGAGGTGTTGATTAAGTGAATGTTGTTTTTGGATTGAGTTATTGAGTTATTTAACAATGTTATTTCGTATAGTTAGTACACAACGATCTGTGTGTGCAATGACGAATTTGTGTTAGAGTGCAAGTAGAGTCACCGTGGTGTAGGTTGTGCTGGATGTTGGGTGCATGTCGGGGCTGGTCCTTGGCGGTTTTTGGGGGTTTGGCTGGTTGTTGGCGGGGACGATGGTGCTGGCATAACTATACCATGGTCTAAGAAAGGAGGTAGAACTAGATAAGTCTGTACTTCTTTCTACTCCCCTTCAAGCATGCAAGGGTGGTAGTATCTGTAATTTACTTCATGAATGTGATATGACTGAATTGTGTACTATTTTGTCTTTATATTGTTATTAGTTCTTTCTTCTTGTATTGTATATGCACTACCTTTTTCTTTTGTTTTTTTTTCTTTTCTCACAATTTTATTTCTGTAATGCTATTTTATTTTTTACATGCTTGAAATAAACTAAACTAACTAAACAAAACATGTAATACAATATGACAATGTCAAGTGGTTTCAAAGTATTCAAACCCTTTCCAGTTTTCCACAGTTAAATTTCAGACTTGTCTTGAAATTGATTTTATTTTTTCTAATCAATCTACACACAATACTTGATAAAGTGAAAACAAGTGTTTAATGTTTTGTAAATTTATTAAAAATAAGACTATGACACTTGCTTTTGTGCTCTGGTGCATCCTACTCTTATCAATGGCCATTGAGATGCTTCTGCAGCTTTATTAGAGTCCACCTGTGCCAAATTCAATACATGGGATATAATTAGGAACAGCGCACACCTGTCTCTATAAGGTTTCACAGCTGATTGTGTATGTCAAAGTGAAAAGCCATGGGGTCAGGAGAACTGTCCACAGAACTGTGAGACAGGCTTGTGTCAAGACACAGATCAAATCTCTCCAGCATTGGAAGTGCCCAAGCACAGGGCAGCCTCCATCACTCTCAAATGGAAGAAATCTGGAACCACCACCAGTCTTCATAGATCTGGCTGCCCAGCCAAACTGAATAATTGAGGACAAGGGGCCTTGGTCAGACAGGTAACCAGGAACCCAAAGGTCACTGAATGACATCCAGAGTTCCTTTTCGGAGATGGGACAACCTTACAGAAGGACAACCATTGGTGCAGCACTCCACCAATCAGGCCTCTATGGCAAAGTGGCCAGGCAGAAGCCATTCCTCACTAAAAGGCACATGACAGCCCACTGGGAGTTTGGCCAAAGGCATCTGAAGGACTCTCAGACCATGAGAGGCAAAATCCTCTGTTCTGATGAAACAAAGACTGAACTATTTAGCCACAATTCTCAACAATGTGTGCAGACAACCAGGCACTGAGCATCACTTCAGGGAGACTAGTGAGGATAGACGAAAGGATGGATGCAAAACAACAACAACAAAAAAAACAAACCAATTCTGAATGGAAACCTTCCCCACTCAGGATCTCAGGCTGGGGCAAAGGTTTACATTTCAACAAGACCACCTGAAGCATAGATCCAAGAAAATACAGGAGTGGCTTCATGAAAACTCAGTAAAAGTCCTGGAGTGGCTCAGCCAGAGTTTAGACCTGAACCCAGTAGAGCATCTCTGGAGAAAATGGCTGTGCACCAATGCTCACCATCCAACCTGGGTGACCTTAAATGATTCTGCCAAGAAGATTGGAGGAAATTTCCAAAAGAAAGGTGTACCTGGCTTGTAGCTTCAGTCTCAAGAAGACTTGAGGCAGTCATTGCTCCCAATGGTGCTTTAACCAAGTACTGTTCATTTACAAATTATAGTTAAAATAAAATACTAAATATCAACTATTATCTGTAAGCAACATTATTATTTATTACCTGAAAAGTCAAACAAAACCCTTCTATAGACTTAAGTTGCAATAATGTCATTAAAAATCCTATTTATGTTTAGATGATGTAAGTCAGGTAATAACTGCATTGTACATTTCCTGCATAATACTTGTATGGTTAATGTTTCCTTTGCACAGGTAAACCTGGAGACCTGGAGCAATGCTATCCATTACTTCAATGCTTCAAAGACCACTTACATAGAGACATGGAAGATGAAAAATTAATACATCCTGCCTAATTTGGGTTAGAGAGCATACAGAGGTAAAGGTGTGAATTATTTACAGAATAGCTTTACAGAGCAAGGGTTTTGAGGTAGATCAAGGAGTCATCTTGAGTTGCTCTACTACGCTCAAATGTGGCATACTCTACTCAGTGCAGAACATGTCATATTAAAGTGTTAGATATAAAGTGATGTATGCTCAGTGTTACTCTGCTGCATTTCTGCATTGCAAACACTGCTTTAAACATTGCTTCTAAAGCTGCTGAAAATGCTGCTGTTGCTCATAAGAGCACTTGATAAGCCCCACCTCTGGTATTTCCTAATTCCCCTGGAAAGCAAAATTACCACAGTCACTCCTTTGTGATGAGCTTGATGCTTGCTAATGGGAAGTGATGAGCTCAGAGACCAGACACCAAACACAGACTCTGCAATAAATGCTCTGAAATCACCAGCAATATTTCATTTGAATGATTTTCTCACACATACAGTATGTTGGCAAACTGGCGGCCCTTGGCCCATCTTTGCTCCTAAAGGGCTTGGCCTGTCCTGGATGCCACTTTTGTATCAAATCATGATGCAATCACCTGTTGGCATTACCTATTTCAAATGGAATCATCTTTTCATTGTTTTACCTCATTACTGGTCCTGAAATGCAACCGTCCTAACTTTTTGGAATGTGTTGCAGGGATCAGAATTGAAGTGTTTATTTTGAACAAAGAATCAAATTGATGAGGTATCACATCAAATAATGTGCTCCTGTGTTGTTTTCAGTGTAATACAGGACACCGATGATTTACACATCACTATTTTCAGTTTTAATTTTGATTTTACATGCCATCCCAACTTTTTTTTGAAATGGGGTTGTAATATGTGTTATTGACTTTATAAACATCCTTGTAGACACTCTTATTAAACTCTTCCAGTGGTGCTGTGGCATAGCTGGATTGCAATAAAAATGCATCCAATAAACATGGAGAATAACCAAGAAAAAAGACACTTTGCATTGACTGCCATGGTTTTATAAAGCTTATGTATGTTCCTTCTAGCTTGGCTTAACAGGCAAGGTTAGTGCACTGAAAAGCAACCTGTGGAATGC